CACAGGGGTTTTAACAACAATATTATCACAATTTGAAAAGAGATATTTCATTTAACAGGGAAAAGCTGATCTATCTTGAAAAAGTGAAAATATAACCTTAAGGAATTATGAAGATTCTGAAATGTTCAAAGAGCATTATGTGCACCTGTTAGCTCTGGGTCTAAAAAAAGAAAATCTAAAATATACCCAGGATTAAGTTGGCTTTATTTTACACTGCATTACACAGAGGAAAAAATACTGGCATTTTCTTCCCTCTCTTGTTCTAGGTCAACACTTCTAAGTAAACATGTTTCTACCAAGAACTTTGAGTTGTTTGAACATAGCAAGCCACTAATAAATACCTACCAAGATAAATACATGCATAGCAGGAATGAATAAGATGTGAAGTTGAGTATAGGAAAATAATGTTTCATTTCCCATAGAAAATTTGTTATCTGAGGCTTTTTATAGCTAAAATGGCTAAGTCTTCCAAAGATAATATAAAGCAAATATTTTCTAAATAAAATAATCAAAATGCTCAAAGGTTCAATTACTAATATTTCACATAATATACCATACTATGAATAAATATGAATATTGCACATGTGGTTAAAAGAAGAATTTGCATAAAATTAAAATAATTTCAACATAACATTTAGCAAGAGAGTTAAAGTAAAAATATCTTCAAAAATAAAAATTCATAAAACTAGATTTTACAGCATTGGGGAAATAAGTATAAAAAGAGTTATATTAACAACTATATGATAATGAAAATATCTATCATCTGTATCTTATATAGACTCAGCCCAAATAGTCCAGGAAAATGGATATTTAAAATGTAATCCTCCTCTTGCTAATCATCAGAGAAATGCAAATTAAAACCACAATGAGATATCACCTCACACGAGTTAGGATGGCCAACATAGAAAAGACTAGGAACAACAAATGCTGGCGAGGATGTGGAGAAAGGGGAACCCTCCTACATTGCTGGTTTTATTTGGTCTCCAGTTTCCTCAATTTAACATGGATAATATTTTCTACTTCTCAGGGTTATTGTAAAGATACAGTGGTATAGAGGATGCTATGCTGAATTGCATCATATGGGCTGAATTTTAATCTGTTTAGAATCAGACAATTAAATGTCTTCCATTACCATTGAGGGTTGATACAACTCTAAATCCACCCAGCATCCAAGAATTGTGCTGCATTGTTCCCTGGTTTTTGGAGGTTATTCATTTCTACTTATCAAGTAAAATAAAATATTTATTTTATTATTCCTATCTTAATGCATGATCCAGCTTACTCAAACAAAAAAGGAAGGTACCCTGATTTCTATATTACCACATTCACCATAAACATCTACCTTATTTCAGCCTAACTCCTTATAATATTGGCATTAAAAAGGGGTCCACATATCACACTCTGCGCTGTCTGATACTTTTACATAGATTTCTAGTGTAGTGGCTCTGACCTCTCAAATTTTCCTGAGAATCTGATGAAAGCTTTGGTCTTTAAAAAAAAAAATTCTCATCTGCACCTAATTTTGCCCATATTATCAGATCATGCAAGACTCTGCTGAAACCTATTCATGGACAGTGGTCCTGAGTACCATTTGTCCTTTAATCCCTGATAGTATGTGTGGGTTGCTAGCATAAAACAATAATATTGTGTCATTTGTTTTCCTGAATTACTTTTTTTAATTTACATTTTTATTTTCTCACTGTGACTAAGAATAAAGGCACTAAAATAAGCCTTCCAGAATTTATTTTATAACCCTTGGATCAGAATGCAGTTGGTAACCAATCTGCCCTATAATGACACTGACACTGAACGAGTCATTGTTCTTAAGACTTACTGAGGTCAGCCAAGCCCTGAGCACATATAAATCTCCATAGTTTCCACTTTACTACTGGACATCTAACTACAAAGCAGAAGTTAAAAATAGATCAAACCTAGTTTTTACATACACTCCAGAGAATTACATTTCCAACCACAGGGGTTTTAACAACAATATTATCACAATCTGAAAAGAGATATTTCATTTAACAGGGAAAAGCTGATCTATCTTGAAAAAGTGAAAATATAACCTTAAGGAATTATGAAGATTCTGAAATGTTCAAAGAGCATTATGTGCACCTGTTAGCTCTGGGTCTAAAAAAAGAAAATCTAAAATATACCCAGGATTAAGTTGGCTTTATTTTACACTGCATTACACAGAGGAAAAAATACTGGCATTTTCTTCCCTCTCTTGTTCTAGGTCAACACTTCTAAGTAAACATGTTTCTACCAAGAACTTTGAGTTGTTTGAACATAGCAAGCCACTAATAAATACCTACCAAGATAAATACATGCATAGCAGGAATGAATAAGATGTGAAGTTGAGTATAGGAAAATAATGTTTCATTTCCCATAGAAAATTTGTTATCTGAGGCTTTTTATAGCTAAAATGGCTAAGTCTTCCAAAGATAATATAAAGCAAATATTTTCTAAATAAAATAATCAAAATGCTCAAAGGTTCAATTACTAATATTTCACATAATATACCATACTATGAATAAATATGAATATTGCACATGTGGTTAAAAGAAGAATTTGCATAAAATTAAAATAATTTCAACATAACATTTAGCAAGAGAGTTAAAGTAAAAATATCTTCAAAAATAAAAATTCATAAAACTAGATTTTACAGCATTGGGGAAATAAGTATAAAAAGAGTTATATTAACAACTATATGATAATGAAAATATCTATCATCTGTATCTTATATAGACTCAGCCCAAATAGTCCAGGAAAATGGATATTTAAAATGTAATCCTCCTCTTGCTAATCATCAGAGAAATGCAAATTAAAACCACAATGAGATATCACCTCACACGAGTTAGGATGGCCAACATAGAAAAGACTAGGAACAACAAATGCTGGCGAGGATGTGGAGAAAGGGGAACCCTCCTACATTGCTGGTAAGAATGCAAACTAGTTCAACCATTGTGGAAAGCAATGTGGAGGTTCCTCAAAAAACTAAAAATAGTAATACCATTTGACCCGGGAATTCCACTCTTAGGAATTTACCCAAAGAAAACAAGTTCTCAGATTTAAAGAGACATATGCACCCCTATGTTTACTGCAGCACTATTTACAATAGCCAAGATACGGAAGCAACCTAAGTGTCCATCAGTAGATGAATGGATAGAGAAGAGGTGGTACGTATACACAATGGAATACTATTCAGCCATAAGAAAGAAACAAATCCTACCATTTGCAACAACATGGATGGAGCTAGAGGGTGTGATGCTCAGTGAAATAAGTCAGGCAGAGAAAGACAAATACCAAATGATTTCCCTCTTTTGTGGAGTATAACAATGAAGCAAAACTGAAGGAACAAAATAGCAGCAGACTCAAGACTCCAAGAGGGGACTAGTGATTAACAAAGGGGAGGGCGAGTGGGGAGGGAGGGAGAAGGGGATTGTGGGATATTATGATTGGTGCTCATAGTGCGTGTGGGGTCACGGGGAAGACAGTATAGCTCAGAGAAGACAAACAGGGACTCTGTGGCATCTTACTACACTGATGGACAGTGACTGCAATGGGGTATGGGGGAGGGACTTGATAATAAGGGTGAATATAATAACCACACTGGTTTTCTTGTGAAACCTTCATAAGAGTGTATATCAAAGATACCTTAATAAAAAAAATGTAATCCTTCTCTACTAGAAGAAACTACTTTCCTAAATGAAGTTCTTAAACATTTCTATGGCACATTCTTCAAGAGAACAAAATGATGCTGTTATATACACAGTGTTAATGCCTCCTAACTTCCCTGTGGAAGGCAGTTCATTTAAAGCAAGTTGTAAAAGAAATGGATTCACATCAGTAACAAAATTTCCACATTTGCAGCCAATTTAAGGCCCTTATGAATATCCCATAGCAAAATATGACTCATGAAAGTAAGATTGCAAAGTAATGCTGCCCTATTTTAAATGGAATTTCAAAATGCTACCATCACACATTCCAGGTAACCTCCAGTGGACTCTGGTTCTGTAACAGAACACAATGCCCAAGACGGGACAGCCAAAGATCGGCTGGTGCTTAAACCCAACAGGGATTCAGAAGTTTCTGCCTTCAAAACCATCCTTGCTTCTATTCATACAAATCACTGTGTTGTTTTCTTAGTAACTTTTTTAAGTTCCAGAAATAAACACCTTCTCCAGTTACCCTAACACGTATTTTGTGGACTTAAATTTTGTAAGCCTTAAAATTATATTTTGTTAATAACAAAAAATGCAACCCATGCCAGATGCTTTGGAGAGGAGGACTCATAGCAGCAGGTGGTTATTTACCACAGACCCCAGTGCAGAGAAGCCAACTGCAAAGTTCATAGGAACCAACACTTGTGCCAGGGACACTGCCACTGTACAGTGCCATGGTAGCCTCCCTGAGTGACCACATACTCACTGAGAAACTTTCTTCCCTAATATTAAAGACTATCAGTAATATTGCTGTTGAAATTTTATCAGTGAGGATGAGATGTCACACTCTCACCTGGAGGACCTCAGTTGCTGATGGCACCAACAGCCTCAGTTTCCAGGGCTGAGCTCTACATAAAGGGTTTCTGGATATAACAGTCCTCGTTTATCTCAACTTTACTGTTTTCCAAAGACCTGCACCTAAACTCCACTCTTCCTAAAATCCTATTGTAATCTCTTTTCCTCTGGTATGTGGTCTCCCTCACTGCAAAATTAGATAAATCTAATTTTGTTAGAATACAGGTTTATTTCTAGTATTCTTAGGCTGACTGAGATAAGGCCATGTTTTTATAAAATACTCTGGATTAACAAAATATCTGCCACTGGGATAATAGCTCAGAATTTTTAAACTGGCTTTCAGATATCCAAAAAATAAAACACCTTTCTGCTGTGACCTGTGAATTTTAAACTCTGTGCTGGCTTCTCACCTAAGCAGAAAGGTTCTGAGGGTTGAAGAGCCATTCAGAAAATGTGCCTTTGCCTTAAGACCCAACATACCCATGGGAGTAACTGTGATCACAGGTTGAGGCTGCCTCCCGACTGACTGCGGATGTGAGGGTGGCCTGCTGCTGGGAGGACGCCTGGCGGAAGGCCTCGGATTCCTGGCGGTGTGCAGCAGAGGAGCGGCTGCTGTATGCTGTGGAGCCATGGGTATAGATGGCAGACCTTTTCTTGTCCTGCTGGTAGTGGCTCACGGTGGTACGAAGGTCCTTGTTGCGATAGCTGTAATCATAGTGCTTATGGAGTTTCTGATAAAATGGCAGTGACATCCTGTGCCCTTGAGGGAACAAGTCAACCTACAAGAAAGCAACAATTTTTGAGTGAATTTTTAAGAAACAAATCCCATGGAACAAGTCATCTAAACCAGTGTGCAAAAATTAATACTCTTATGATTCAAAATTCTCAACAAAGTGGGTATAGAGGGAACATACCTCAAGATAATAAAGGCCATATATGACAAAGCCACAGCTAACATCATACTCAATGGTGAGAAACTAAAAGCCTTTTCCTCTAGATCAGGAACAAGACAAGGATGTCCACTCTTACCACTTTTATTCAACATAGTACTGGAGATCCTAGCTACAGCAATCAGACAAGATAAAGAGATAAAAGTTGTACGAATTGGTAAGGACAAAGTAAAATTAGCAAATGACATGATACTATATAGAAAACCCTAACTGCTCCACAAAAAACATTAGAACTAATAAATGAATTCAGTAAAGTTGCAGGATACAAAATCAATATATAGAAAGTTATTGCATTTCTATGTACTAATAATAGCAGAAGGAGAAATTAAGAAAACAATATCATTTACAATTGCATTGAAAAGAATAAAATACCCGTGAGTGAATTTAACCAAGCAGGTGAAAGACCTATACTCTGAAAAATATATCACTGATGACAGAAACTGAAGACAACACAAATAAATGGAAAGATTTTCCATGCAAATGGATTGGAAGAACTAATATTGCTAAAATGTACATACTACCCAAAGTAATCTCATATTCAATGCAATCCTTATCAAAATACCAGTGGCAATTTTCACAGAACTAGAGCAAATAATTATAAAATTTGTATGGAACAAAAGACCCTGAATAGCCAAAGTAAGCTTGAGAAAGAAGAACAAAACTGAAGGTACCATGCTTCCTGATTTCCAACTATTCTACAAACTTATAATTATCAAAACAATATGATACTGGCACCAAAAAAGACACATAGATCAATAGAACAGACAACAGTCCCCAGGAATAAACCCACACTGGTATGTTCAATTAATATGACAAGATTTACTGAATTAAGATGCAAGAACACACAATGGGGAAAAGACAGTCCCTTCAATAAATGGTGTTGGGGAAACTGGACAGCTACGTGCCAAGAATGAAACTGGACCACTGTCTTATACCACACACAAAAATAAACTCAAAGTGGATTAAAGATTTAAATGTAAGACATGAAAGCATAAAACTCCTAAAAGAAAACATACTCAGTAAACTTATGAACATCAGCATTAGCAGTTTTTTCTGGTTTTGTCTCCCCAGGCAAGAGAAATAAAAACAAAAATAAACAAGTGGGACTATATCAAACTAAAAAACTTCAGCAAAAGAAAAAGGCAGTCTACTAAATGGGAGAATATATTTACAAATGAACATATCCAATAAGGGGTTAAAATCCAAAATATATAAAGAACTCATAAAAGTCAACACCAAAAAACCACAAAAATCCCATTAAAAAATGGGCAGAGAACATGAATAGACATCTTTTCCAAAGAAGACATACAGATGGACAACAGACACATGAAAAGATGCTCCACATCACTAATCATCAAGGAAATGCAAGTCAAAACCACAGTGAGATATCACTTCACACCAATTAGAATGGCTAGTATCAAAAAAGACAAGAAATAACAAGTGTTGGCAAGGATATGCATAAAAGGAAACCCTCATGCACAGTTGATGGGAATGTAAATTGGTGCAGCCACTATGGAAAACAGTATAAAGGTTCCTCAAAAAATTAAAAATAGAAATACTGTATGACCTAGTAATTCTACTTCTGGTTATTTACCTAAAGAAAACAAAAACACTAATTTGAAAAGATAGATGAACTTCTATGTTTATTGCCACATTATTTGCAATAGCCAAGATATGGAAGCAACCACAGCATCTGTCAATAGATGAATGGATAAAGAAGATGTATACAAATATACAATGGAATACTATTCAGCCATAAGAAAGAAACAAATCTTGTCATTTGCAACATGGATGGACCTCAAAGGCATTATGCCAAGTGAAGTAAGTCAGAGAAAGACAAACATCATATGATTTCACTTATATGTGGGATATAAAAAAAGACAAACAAAAAACAAAACAGAAATAGATTCATAAACACAGAGAACAGGGAAATACCATATGGAAAGGAGGTTGGGGGATGGAAAAAATAGGTGAAGGGGATAAAGAGGTACAAACTTCCAATTAAAATAAATAAGTCATAGGATGAAAAAATACACCACAGGGAATATAGTCAGTAATATTGCAGTATCTTTGTATGGTGACAGATGGTAACTACACTTACTATGCATACTTTGTAATGTATATAATTGTTGAATCAGTATGTTGCATGCTTGAAACCAATATAATATTGTATATCAACTATACAACAATTTAAAAAAAAGTTATACTCTCATCTTTTCCAAAGGGTAAGTAGAAAATGATGTGACAGTTAGCTTAACCATTTACTCATTAAACCCCCACTGTTACCCAGATGTGCTCCCTCCTATCTCTGTGCCTTCTTCTTTTATGTTTGTATGTGTGTGTTTTAAATATCTAGAAGAGTTTTATGCAGTTTACCTACCCTTGCTATTGTGCTTTCTTTTCAGACCTTTCACAGTATATGTTTTTAATATTCTGGCATTTCATTCTGATGGGGGCTTCATCTGGGAGCCTATACAATGATGAAGAGTCTCTGTACAGCCAATATGGTTTTCACTCAACAAATGATTACCAAGAACTTACTCTGAGCCTGCTACTATTCCAGCACAAGAAATACACAGAGGAACAGAACAAACAAAACCTCTGCTCTGATAACCTTATACAGAATCTTGTATTCTATTGCAGGAGATACACAATAAAATAAATAAGTTAAGGATTAATATATATTAAAATGTACTAAATGCTATAGAGAAAAGTAAATCAGGAAAGGGGAATGGGATGCAATGTTCAACAGCCTCATTAGGGATGGCTTTGAGCATGAGAATATCCAGGAGAAGAGTATTCCAGATGAAAGACCATTGCAAAAGCACTGGGGTATGAGCATACCTGTTGTACTCCAGGAGTAGTAAATAGGTCAGTGGAGCTGCATGGAGTGAGAGGGATGCAGGGAAAGGTGTAGGAAATGATGTCCTAGAAGTGAGGGGGGTGGGGAGGAAGTGCAGATAGTGTAAGGTCTGATAGGTGACTGTAAGGACTTTGTCTTTCATTCTGAAACTCTTTTCAGCTATTGGAAGGTTCTGAGCTGAGAATAACTCTCACTGATGTCTGAAGAACAGACTGCTAAGGCATAAGAGCAAAAGCCAAGTGAATCAGAAGGCTAGGATGACCTGAGTTGCATCACCCTCAAATTCATTTGTTTAAGTCCTAACTGCCAGTACTTCACAATGTGACTGTATTTTCAGATAGGATCCTTACAGAGGCAATGAGGTTAAAATGAGGTCATCAGGGTGGGCCTCTATCTAGTATGACTGGTGTCCTACAAAATGAATTGGACAGATATGTACATATACAGAGGGAAGACTGTGAAGACACAAAAGAAAATGACTTAAGCATAAGCAGTTTTTTTCCTGGACACATCTCCTCAGGCAAGGGACACAAAACCAAAAATGAACAAGCAGGACTACATCAAATTAAAAAGCTTCTGTATAGTAAAAGGCACCATCAGCAGAACCTACAGTATGGGAGAATATATTCATAATCAATTTATCCAATAAGGGGCTAACATCCAAAATATATAAAGAACTCATATGTTTCAACAACAAAATAACAAACAACCTGATTAATAAGTGGGCAGAGACAGAGAAGACAAGTAGTGACTCTATCACATCTTACTATGCTGATGGACAATAACTGTAATGGGGTATGTGGTGGGGACTTGATAATGGGGGGGAATCTAGTAACCACAGTGTTGCTCATGTGACTGTATATCAATGATACCTTAATAAAAAAAATGGGCAGAAGACCTGAACAGACATTTCTCCAAAGAAGATATATAGATGGCCAACAGGCATGTGAAAAGATGCTCCATATGGCTAATTGTCAGGGAAATGAAAATCAATGAGGTACCATCTCACACCAGTTAGAATGGCCACTATCCAAAAGACAAGAAATAACAAGTGTTGGCAAGGATGTGGAGAAAGGCAGCCCTCTTACACTGTTGGTGGGAATGTCAATTGGTGCAGCCACTATGGAAAGCAGTATGAAAGTTCCTCATAAAACTAAAAATAGAAATATACATATGACCCATAATTACACTTCTAGGAACTTACCTGAAGAAAACAAAATCCCTGATTTGAAGAGATATATGCATCCGTATGTTTATTGCTACATTATTTGCAATAGCCAAGATATGGAAGCAAACTCAGTGACCATCAACAGATGAATGGATAAAGAAGATGTGGTACATATACACTATAGAATATTATTCAACCATAAAAAAAAGAAACCCTGCCATTTACAACAACATGGATAGATCTGGAGGGCATTATGCTAAATGAAATAAGCCAGGTGGAGAAAGACAAATACCATATGATTTCACTTATTTGTGGAATATAAAAACAAAACAGAACAGCAATAGACTCACAGACACTGAGAAATGACTGGTGGTTACCATGGGGGAGGGAGGGGTGAATGGGTGGGAAGGGGAAGTGGGCTAAAGGGGCACAAAAATTCTCAATCATAATATAAATTGGTCACTGGGATAGTACAGCATGGAGAATATAACCAATGATTCTGTAATATCTTCCTATGCTGACAGATGATAACTCCAATAGTGGGGGTGAGGATTTAATAATATGGGTAACTGTTGAACCACTGTGTTGTATCCTTGAAATCAATGTAAGATTGTATATCAACTGTACTTTAATTTTAAAAAACACAATGGAATTCAGATTAAAGATGGCAGGGTGAGAGGTGAGGCAGAGGCTTCCTCCTAAAACCACATATAATATGAAAATATAATTAATACAACTGATCCTGAAAAAGCAACAGGAAAGAGGACTGTGCCAGACTGCATACACCTGGAGAAAAGAGCAAACCTCATGGAACAGGGTAATGTACCAAAGCTGTGGCCAGCGGGACCCAAGCCCTTCCCCCACCCCAGCTCACTGGCTGGAGGAAGAGAAATGGAGCAGGGGAGGGAGTGGAGGCATGGGACTGCTGAATACCTAACTCTGGAGATCTGCTCTGGGAGCACAAACCTACACTTCATGGTGCTTTCATGATACTCTAGTGGCTAGGGGATTGGAAAGCTAAGACAGGTAGAATTCCTGGAGAGACTCAGATTCCAGCCACTTGTGGAAAGCAGGGATCCATATATGGCTGCTCTAGAACAAAATAAAGGCAGGCAGTCTGAGAGACTTCCTAACAAGGAAGCCCTTAGCAAGGGGGCTGCTAAAAGGGCAAGGATTGCACAGAGTGTACTTCTCAGGAGAAAGAACAGGTAGACAAAATTGTCCAGGTACACTCTGCTCAGCAGGTTGGAAGCTTTCACAATTTCCAGGTGCTCCAGCTCCCTGGCTGGCTACACAGCTCCAAGAACCCCCTCCATGATAGGCCTGCTGCACCTTTCTCCCAGCCAGCCCCACCTGGCTTGCAAACCAGAAAACCCTACCCTGGCATTAGACCAGCCAGAGGAAAGATCTGCCTACAGCAACTACAAATGCAAAGCATAGAAGCTTATACCTGTGTGCTCGGCTCACAGGCTCAGGCAGTGGAGACAGGCAGAGTGGCAGGGAAGCAGGAAACAGCTCTTTCCTCCCACCAGGTACCAATACCACTCCCTTGCGACCCTCGACAGTGCTTCATGCACTGAGCAGCTCCAAAGAGTAGAGCTTCTGGACTCTAGAGGTCACCATATACAAATATGAAACACCAAAGGAACCTGGTTCAGAGTAAAATTAATGTAACTCCTGAGAAAGATGACATTGACCTCATGACTCTTCCTGAAAGGGAGTTCAAAATAAAAATCATTAACATGCTCATGGTGGTATGGAAAGATATTCAAGAACTCAGGAATGAATTCCGGTCGGAGATCCAATCATTGAAGAGCACAATGGAGGGTATTAAAAGCAGGTTGGATATGGTGGAGGAGACAATAAATGAAACAGAAACTAGAGAAGAGGAATACAAAGAAGTTCAGGCACAGAGAGAAAAAAAGGATCTCTAAGAATGAAAGAATATTGAGAGAACTGTGTGACCAATCCAAACAGAACAATATTCGCATTATAGGGGTACCAGAAGAAGAAGAAGAGAGAGAAAGGGATAGAAAGTGTCTTTTTGGAGGTAATTGCTGAAAACTTCCCCAATCTGGGGAAGAAGACAGTCTCTCAGGCCATGGAGATCCACAGATGTCCCAACACAAGGGACCCAAGGAACACAACACCAAGACATACAGTAATTAAAATGGCAAAGATCAAGGATAAGGACAGACTGTTAAAAGTATCCAGAGAGAGAAATAAGATCACATACAAAGGTAAGCCCATCAGGCTAACATCAGACTTCTCAGCAGAAACCTTACAGGCCAGAAGGGAGTGGCATGATGTATTTAATGCAATGAAGCAGAAGGGACTGGAACCAAGATTACTTTATCCGGCAAGATTATCATTTAAATTTGGAGGAGGGATTAAACAATTTCCAGATGAGCAAAACCTGAAAGAATTCACCTCCCACAAACCATCTCTACAGTGTATTTTGGTGGGACTACTACTAGTTGTTGTAAGTTCAGAATTAGGGTGTGAGAGAAGAAGAGGGGTGAGAGATGAGTCCATGGTTTTTGGAAGAAGGCTGAAACTACTATTAATTGAAATGGGCAGGAATGTAAGAAAGCAACAGTTTGGGATGGAAGTACAGAAGACTTTTTTTGAGATATTTTGCATTGAATCCCTGCTAGACATCCAAGATGTTATCTGGGAAGCTGAGTATACGACTTTTGAGTACAGGGTAAAGGTCTAGGACAGACACCTACCTTTGGGAGTCACTAGCATATATATGATATTTAAAGGCAAAAGAGATATAGATGAGAATGATTGTAAATGGAAAAGGAAATCCTTGGAATGAACAATAAAGTTTGCTTTTATAATCATAAGACAAGCTCTCTCAAATCTCACAAACACTTCGGGAAGGTAATGTATCAAACCAGAAAAATTACTTACTCCACTAAGAATATAAAAGGCTTATAGTCTTCGTATATAAAGAAGAAAGTCAGTCATCAGAGTAGCAGTTTGCATTGTGACCTTGTGCCAACAGTTCAACTGAAAGTCAAAGACACGTTTGCTTCACACCAGGAGGGGAGATTTCACATTCATTAGCTTTCTTGAATAATGTGTCTACTGACAAGAAGGAGCCTATCAGCCACAGTGATAACACTGGATGAAGTAATACTTTCAGGGAAGTTCCCTTTTCCCCATTTTTAATGCTTTGGTGCATGTTCTGAAATGTTATTTTTAACTTTACAAGTAAAATTCATTATAAAATAATCCATTTCTTACACATTAAAAAAATTCTAATTGGAGAATGAATCCTTTTAAATTTGTCATATTTCTTTGTCAAGTTTAAATCTACTTTTTACTTAAACTATTTTAAAAGTCAGTATGTATTCCCTACAGAAAATACAGCAAACTCCATTCCAGAAATATTTATCTTAGGGCTCATGGAATGTATCAGTCTACATGGCATTTTCCAAGAGGAAAAAAATAGCTACTAGCAATTTGCTGCAACCCTTAAATATGTTGCTATCTTCTGTTCTAAAACATACAGAATAATTATCATGTGTAATGAATAATTATTAGATAAATGTTAATAAAGCAAAAGGGTTAAAATATGTTAATATAGAAGCATATTATGTTAGACAGTTATAAAGATGTATGCTTTTATAATGATACATACATAAATTTACAATGATACATACATAAAATTACAACATGGCAAATATTATTTGATGATATCCAAATAAATAATGAATGACTTCCCTATGTGTGAGTTAGATATTCTTTCCAAGTTTCAGTTCAGTGGTTTGGTTGAAACCTGGAATGGATAAGGATAAGCTAAATTCACATTCCAAGTGACCTGAAGTGCTGTAATTTTTAAAAAACAAAAATTTTAAATATCTTGACCCAATTGTGTTTTCCACTTCTCTGCCTCTATTTCCCCAAATATGTTTATTTTTAATAATACTTAATATTCCAGCACATAAATAATGTATTACAAGTACACAGGGTTTGGCTTGAAATCAACAGAGCTAGTTATCATAGCTCTGACCTCTAGAACAAAGGTACAATTACCTTCTCTTCAAGCAAGTGAGTTTAGCCCCAACACATGATACCTAGAGTATACTGGGAGGAAAGATGGTTTGGTTGCCTTCTGTTCCTTTAAGATTTGCATTTTCTTCCTGAAAATAATTTGGGAATTTAGGAAGGAAGACTAACTCCATAGCTGTAATTTTCATATGATATTTTTATACAGGCATTAGAGGCCAAAAGCTGATTAAAATTGCTCACAGAAAGTATTAACTTTTGGATCATTATGTGGGGATCTATGTCACCACTAGAATATTACTTAACCATTTTCAGGTTAGGAATATTATACTGCACTCTTAAATTTATCCACATGGCATTGCCTGAGCAAAACCATTGAATTAAAAACTAGGGACTTCAGAACTTTTGGTATAATTTGTAATGAGGGAGTACTGCAGGCACATAGAAGATAGAAAACACATGATTTGCTGTCACCTTATCCATTCCAGGTTTCAACCAAACCACTGAAGTGAAACTTGGAAGGAGTATGTAACTCACACGGTCCCATTTGAGACAGATATTCTCCCCTTATAGTTCTGGGAACAGCAACTTAATCTAAAGAGAATACAGTGATCTGACAGAATAGCTGTGCCAGCAAAAACTGGCACCCAGCTGCTTTGGTCTTCCTTCCCAGGGGCTCTACTTTCCTATCTCTGCTATTCTGACATCTCTGAGAAAACTGCTGAGCTCAGAAGATAAAGAGAAAGCACACACACACAGTACTGTGAAGTACATAAAATATCAAGAGCACTCTACCTCAAATGTCACACTTACCAGTTTGAAAAGCAGTGATGGTGGTGTAAGTGTTCAGATGTGGCCGTGGAGCTGGTGGGAGAAGGAAAAATCCACACAGGCTGAATCCAAGAAAAAAAAAGAGGCAGGGCTAAACACAGGACCCTGGGGGCCAGTTCAAAAATAATGCATGTGGTCAGGCAGTAGAATGTCAGAGCTACACAGCCAGCCTTTTATGGCCAAGAAGGCAGGCAAATATAGCAGCAAATAGGGAGGGTAGTCCTAAACTGAGAGGAAGAGAGGGACACTGGCAGTAGCTTCCTCAGTAATGTAAGTCCATTAATGCCAATCAATGGATCGATCTGGCCTGATTAAACCAAATGTAGAATTTTTACTTGGCTATAAGAACTATTTTTTAATATTGCTTTATCATTGGATATTTAAAAGCGTAATGGAAAGAGTGGTTTGTGTTGAGAGCTAAAAATAGGATGTAGTAATCTGATTCCCAAAATGGACATCATGGAATTTTAATGCTAAGATATGGTTCTGGGTGTGCTATTCATAATACATGCACAGCACATTTAAAAGACACAAAGTGAAAAAAGAACTTGAGGCTAACTAAAGGCAAAACAAGTTAGAAATGGGTTACAGTGGTGGCAATTTTGGCCTGAGTATATGCATTTACCGTTTCTCTCATTTCAGGGGAATTTAAAAAGTCACAGCTTCAGGTTTGAAAATATGAATCTCTATTCATTAACTAAAGCCTTTTTGAAGCAACCTACTTATCTTTCCTAAAGTCAGAGTAAGGCCAGTCTAACAAGCAACTCTCTCTTTGTTTTTTAGACTATATAACAAATTAAGAGGTGGTATAATCTGCTGGTTAGAGCCTGCACTTTGGACTCAGACCAGACCTAGATCTCTGGCCATCATTGGCACTATAAAGCCTTACAATTTAAAGTAATTTATTTTTCCTCCTAAACTTTATTTCCCTCTGTATAAAATGAGGATAATAATATCCAAATTATGGGACTGCTTTGGAGGTTAAATGTGATAATGCAGATAAAGTACTTCACCCAGTGATTGCCACATAATGCTCAGTAAACATCAACTATTCTTAATGATAAAATAATTTAAAAGCTCATGTTCAGATTATATGTACTAAGCAGGTGATGCTCTGACATATTACAGTGATATCATACCAACAGAATATAGATTACTTGTATCTGTCAAAACACTTAAAAGACACTATTGTAGTTTACTTTCTAATTGCTTTCTCGATACTAACTACAGTTAATATTGTTGAGGACCTATTAAGTGATAGACATTTTATATAAATGATCTCATTTAATTCTCATAATACCAGGCAAGGTAGGTATGGAAAGCTCCATTATATGGCCAAAGAAATTAAGGCCTCTAGAGGCCAAGTTATTTGCCAAAGATCACACAGCTAGTAAATGATAAATGCAATTCATTCACAGATACTTGGATTCCAAAGCCTATGCACTTTGGTCATGCATGGCTGTATCCTCTAGTGATACACTGTTTATTAAGAGACTAGATATTTTGAAATGGTTTTTCAAGTGCAATATAAGTCTCCACTCATAACCAAGCATCAGCTTCTGATCTACCTTGTAAAAGAATGTAATCCACTTAGTCCTGATACAATTTCCTGGTAAAATTCAACCCGGCATTTCTTCCCCTACATAAACCTCCTGTTAGTGTTCATATGGACATTTTAGCTATATGGAACCCATCTGAGAATTTTCCGAGCTTTATGTTCCCTAAGCATCCACTTGTTCTTCAAACCTCCAATACAGAATGGCAGTGGTTCTGAGTTTTATACACCAGTGACTGGAATGGTTCCCAGTGAGCTGTTTCTCTAGAGAACATGGTAAGTTGTTTTAAATCTTCTCAAAGCATCATAAACCATGATCAAGTGGGATTTATTCCAGGGATGTAAGGATGGTACAATATTTGAAAATCCATCAACATTATCCACTACATCAGCAAAAATAAGGACAAAAATCACATGATCATCTCTATAGATGCTGAAAAAGCATTTGACAAAATTCAACATCTACTCATGATACAAACTTTCAATAAAATGGGTATAGAGGGCAAGTACCTCAACATTATAAAGGCCATATACAACAAACCCACAGCCAACATCACACTTAATAGTGAAAAGCTTTTCCTCTAAGATCGGGAACAAGACAGGGATGCCCACTCTCCCCACTTTTATTCAACATAGTACTGGAGGTCCTAGCCATGGCAATCAGACAACACAAAGAAATAAGAGGCATTCAGATCAGCAAGGAACAAGTTAAACTGTCACTGTTTGCAGATGACATGATATTGCACATTAAAAAACCTAAAAATCCACTCCAAAACTACTTGAGTTAATATCTGAATTCAGCAAAGTTGCAGGATACAAAATACACAGAAATCTGTTACATTCCTATATACTAATGATGAACTAGCAGAAAGAAAAATTAGGAAAACAATTCCATCAAAAAGAATAAAATACCTAGGAATAAACCTAATCAAGGAAGTGAAAGACCTATGCCCTGAAAACTGCAAGACACTCTTGAGAGAAATCAAAGAAGACACCAATAAATGGAAAGCTATCCCATGCTCATGGATAGGAAGAATACTGTCAAAATGGCCATCCTGCCTAAAGCAATCGATAGATTCAGTGCAATCCCTATCAAAATACCAACAGCATTCTTCAAGGAACTACAACAAATAGTTCTAAAATTCACATGGAACCACAAAAGACCCTGAATAGCCAAAGCAATCCTGAGAAGGAAAAACAAAGCTGGGGGATTACGCTCCCTAACTTCAAGCTCTACTACAAAGCCACAGTAATCAAAACAATTTGGTACTGGCACAAGAACAGACCAGTGGAACAGAATAGAGAGCACAGATATAAACCCACACATCTTTGGTCAATTAATACACGATAAAGGAGCCATGGACATACAATAGGGAAACGACAGCCTCCTTAACAGCTGGTGTTGGCAAAACTGGACAGCTGTATATATGCAAGAGAATGAAACTGGATTACTGTCCAGCTCCATACACAAAAGTAAACTCGAAATGGATCAAAGACCTGAAACCATAAAACCCTTAGAAGAAAACATAGGCAAAACTCTCTTGAATATAAACATGAGCAACTTTTTCATGAATATATCTCCTCAGGCAAGGGAAACAAAAGCAAAAATGAACAAGTGGGACTACATCAAACTAAAAATCAAAGAACACCATCAGTAGAACAAAAAGGCATCCTACAGTATGGGAGAATATATTCATAAATGACATATCCAATAAGGGGTTAACACCTAAAATATACAAAGAGCTCATATACCTCAACACCCAAAAAGCAAATAACCCAATTAAAAAATGGGCAGA